GCAGGAGCATCTCTGGGGACCATCCGAGCCCTGAGCTGGAGCTTCCTCCTCCCTCTCCAGGTCAGTTCTCCACCCAAAGCAAAGCTGTTCCCTACAGAGGGTTTTCTCCCACCTTTTCAGACTTTTCTTCAAAGACAACACAAGTTTGCTTTTGTCTCTTTTCTCCCGGCCGTGGCTGACCCTTGCTGACTGCACCGACAGCCTCTGAACGTCTGCGGCCACAAAGCGATGGCAGAGCCTTTCTTTTTTTCCTGTTAAAAAATTAAAACAACTCTTCTGGCATCCTGAAAGACACCAAATTCGGCTTTGGTGTTAGACGGACAGGGGACAGCAGTGGCTCTGCCTGTCTGTAAGGCATCGGGGCACTCGTTTCAACTGCAGTGGCAATTCTCCTGCAGGTGATTATTTAACTGTAAAAACCACAATGAGACCACTTAGAAGAAAGAAAAAAAAAGAAGATTTTTAGAGATCTGTTGAGCAATGTACCTGAGTGAGGGTTCTGGGGTAGCTCAGCAGAACGGGGCCTTTAACCCACAACCATCTTCGGTTGCTCCACTGAAATAAAACATGAGGGGAAGATACCAGATGCAGAGCACAGGCAGGTTTTCTGCTCAGAATAATTCAATTTTGAAATATTTGTCATTTTATATCATGATGACATCATCTGAGCAGCAAAAGGCACCAACCCAGGAGCCAGAAGAGATGGGGATATGGGAGACCCCGTCCTGAGGACTCCCTTCAGCAGCGGGCTGTGCCTCTGCCTTGCTGGGGACAAACTCTTCCATGTTTTACATGGGAAAAGTCCATCTAGATCGAATGTTGCCACCAAAACTGCTCCATGCCGACAATTTACTTTGGTCGAACCAGGTTTTGTTTCTAATTGAAAGCAAAACTTGATTCTTGCTTAATTCTGCTAGAATCGAGAGCTCGGGCAGTGTTGGAGCAGCCAGGTACAGAGCCAATGTGCTCCCATCCGTCAGGGGAAGCACAAAACCACATTCATAAGCACATTTTTAATTTTTTTAGTAGTTCAAAATCCACATGCTTTTATTATTTTACTTTAAAGGGAGAAAAAATATCTCCAGGTATAATAAGAGAAATGAATGCAAGCGCAGGCACGCTGGGAATAGCGCAGGAGCCGCGTTTCCAGGGAGTTCCACATGAACCCCATCAAGCAATGCAGATGTTGGAGGTAGGATGTGGCCAAGGGTTGGGCTCTGTTTGAGCCTGATCCTGTTTTCTCCATGGAGCAGGTTTACCACTCTGCTTCTCGTTAGGTGAAAGGGAAGGGGATCCGCAGAGGCGCCAGAGATGTCAAAAAGCAGAAAGAAGGCATTGAAGGAGAAATGAAGATAAACCCACGTTGGTATTTCAGCAATGCACGAGTCCTCTGGGGCTGTGGCCAGGAGCTTCGCCTGCTCCAGCTCCTTCTGCGTCGCTGACGGCGTGACGTGGGGTTTTTATTTCATTTGTTTATTGGACTTCATGCGTTTCCATTTGAGACAAATGGGTTCCCAAGTCTGACGTGTTTGGTCTCCAGCACGGCCTCCAAGGTGTTCCTGGCTCTGCATTTTCAAATTCAAGCCCTCTCTAAAACAAGAAGTGGTTTGGGTTCAGGTTTTAGGGAAGCTGCAGGACCTGACCCCGTTGATTTCTCTTTTAATCTGGATAAATGAGAGTAAAGTAGTTTGCGACTGCAGCCCTGCACTTTCCTGATCTTATAGATCATAAATCTTACACTGAACTGCTGAAAAGCCAGATAAAATACTTCTAAAAGCAACAGGGATAAACATGGTAGGTATTTTTGTTCAGGTTTCCAGAGCAGGAGAGTTGCTGTTACCAGAAATAAGCCGATGTCGATGTGCTTCTCTCTTGCTCACATACGCTCATGTGTTTGAAAGCATGAAGGTTTATTCATACGCAGATGTTTGCAATCATTTTTGTAAGAACAGTTGCCTCATTCATGCTTAATTTGTGAAACTCCTGTGTAGTTCCCCCAATGTTTTTAAAATTATTTTTAATAGTCACACCAGCAGCAGTAATTGCAAGCTCTGGGCCTGTTTTGCACTGATGCAAATCACCACTTACTACTTTGAAACTCTTGATGTCAGTGCAGTTGAGCACTGATTGGTCCTGTAAGAGAATACAGGGGGTGTTTTGGTGGTGGAGACATCCATCCTTGAGCCCTTTCTGTCTATTTTGAAGCCTGTGCTGTGCACCCTGGGTCCTGGTTTACATCCCATGTCCCCATGTGCCAACATCCTTGGCCCTACCAGCTTGTGTCACCAGCTTGGCTTTATTTTGGCTTCATCCTTGGTCATGATGTAAAGCTCAAAATGGGCTCTATGGAGACTTGGAAACTGGGTAGGAAGGAGATATCCAGCATTCAGGGCCCATTCCCATCGCTTGAGGTGGAAACAAGGAGAGCAGCCTCACTGGTTGGGGCAAGGAACCAGCACAAGCCGGGTTTCTGGTGGTGACGGTGCCTGAATTAATCCATCTTGCTTTCTTTAGCTCGGTAGTGAAGGAGTTAATGCTAGCGGGCATGTGGGGTGATTCATGGGTAAAACTCACTGAGATCTGGAGATGAAGGTTGCTGTGGGAGGACACAGGCTTGAAGTGCAGAAGAGGATGGTGGTGTGGAGGACATCAATGGGAAGTGTAACCATGGGCCTGGTTGTGCTTCTCTGCCTTTGCTGCTATGTAGGAAATGAAAGGCATCCCTTGTCCCTTCATCTCAACAGGAATACACAGAATCACAGAATATCAGGGGTTGGAAGGGCCCTGGAAAGCTCCCCCAGTGCAACCCCTGCCACAGCAGGATCACCAGAGCAGTCACACAGGAACACGGCCAGGGCTTTGGGTGTCTGCACACAAGGAGACTCCACAACCTCTCTGGGCAGCCTGGGCCATGCTCCAGAACCCTCACACTGACAAAGTTTGGCCTCAGCTTCAGCTGGAACCTCCTGTGCTCCAGCTTGGGACCATTGCCCCTTGTCCTGGCATTGGCCATCCCAGAGCAGAGCCTGGCTCCTTCCTCCTGACACTGCCCTTTCCCAATGGATCCCCAGGAATGAGGGCACCCCTCAGTCTCCTCTGCTCCAAGCTCAAGAGCCCCAGCTCCCTCAGCCGCTCCTCAGCAGGAGATGCTCCACTCCCTCCATCACTTTGTGGCCCTGCTGGACTCTTTGAAGCAGTTCCTGTCCTTGAGCTGAGGGCCCAGCACTGGACCCAAGATTGCAGCTGTGGTGTGAGCAGGGCAGAGCAGAGGGGCAGGAGAACCTCTCTGCCCTACAACCACCCCTTCTCATCCACCCCAGGCTGGCGTTGGCCTTCTTGGCTCAAGGGCACATTGCTGTCTCATGGGCATTGCTGCCACCAACACCCCCAGGTCCAGCTACCCTTTCTAAGCCCCTCAGTTCCCAAAAACTTCAAAAGTTGGCAAATTTGGGATGTTTGGTGGTGTCTTTATTGCTCGTGGGAGGAGTGAAGGCTTTTTGTCATGTAAATAGCGCAGTACCTCAGCTTTCCCCCTCCCGATGGTGTGTTCTCCTTAACGCCCTGCTCTCACCTGGTTCGAGCACGTCAGCATGCTGGTCATCCTCCTGAACTGCGTCACCCTGGGCATGTTCCAGCCCTGTGAGGACGTGGAGTGCCAGTCGGAGCGCTGCACCATCCTGGAGGTAAGGATCCCATGCCTGGGTTGTCTGGGACACAGTGGGGTGGCCACACCGAGAGCTGGGACCTTGTCCCTTTTCCCCAGGATCCAGCCATGAAAGCCCTGCCCATAGGGATGGTTTTTCCAATGCAAAGTGAGGAGAGCTGCTGCCCTGGCCCTAGGTGAGACCCAAAAGCTGACAGATTTGGACTTACCCCAGCAAGATCCTTTCTCTACGCAACCAGTAAGGGTAGGGGGGCTCAAAACTTGGCATCCAGCTCCCACTGGAGGTGTTGGAGCATTTTAATTAGAGGATGGCCCATGCAGGGAACCTCTTGCTCACATTGCCAAGTGCCAGAAGCACTGACCTTTGGGAAATGCATACGTGTACCAAGCTCACAGACCCTTGTTGGCCACCCCAGGCTCAGCGGGGCATTGTGCTTGTCACCTCAACCCTCGCTGCGTTCTGGCAGTCCCTTCGCTGCCATATGCCCGCAGGATTCATTTTGGAAGCACATCCCGACAGCATCTGGTGTGTGGGCTGCCCCTTGGCGCTGGGCTTCCTGCAGCAACTCAGATCTCAGGCTTGGGACCAACTTGTGTTGTTTCTAATGCATGACATCAACCGAGGAAGGGACTGCTGACATGTGGTGGTATGACGGCCTTGGTTCGCTTGAATCCCACACCGATCTGCTGCTTTACTTCCCTTTGGGTGTTTCAGCCATACGGGAAGGTCAGTGGGGTCCAACCAACCTCTCCTGCCTCTTTCAAAGATGGGGCCAGAGCTGCAGATGCCAGGAATAGCAGAGTTTATCATCAAACCGTCTTGCAACCGTAAAAGAGGGTCTGTTAAATACAGAGCCAAGTAAACCGGATTAATTGAGAAGCCACTGCAGGTTTGCTATGGACTGAGATCCATATTAGAGAAACTGTTGCCACCAGAAGCACCCAGCATAGGGATCATCCCAGAGGGTCAGGCTCAGGGTTGGTGTGAGGTGGCATCCAGAGGTGACACCAGTGTCCAACCCTCCATGTGCCTGCTGTTTTTCTGCATGTATTTACCCACATGGGACTTAGTTTGGACAGTGCCCATCCCTGCTAAAGTGTCCAGAGAACCCTGCCTGCGTGAGGAGGTGACATTATTGAATGCTCGTTGTTTGCTTCCTCTTTCTTTTTGTCATAATTTAATCAGGTTGCAATCGCACAGGCTGTTCTCCCCAGAACACACACGTGTACAGGCTGCAAGGAGCCCAGGCGCTGCATTTAGTTTCTAATACCAGCTGAATGATCCCAACATATTGAGTATATCTGCAAAAACCCAAGGGTGTGCAGGCAGAAAAAGGCTGCAAGTGAAGCCATCGTTATCCTTCACCCTGTCAGAGCTTGCAGGAGGGAATAGGAGCCAGAACATGAGGTAGCAAAGCCTGAGCTTTATGGAGGTGTTCAGATGCTATTAAATGAACTGAAGGAATGGAGCATAACTTCTGTGTAGTTTATCAAGGGAAAGGTTGGTTGATAAAGCCACAGAGTTGGGGCTGACACACAGAGGTACATGGGTGCGCAGTGGGAACTTGGCTGCTGTGTGGATGCTCTGTTAATTTTATAATTCATCCACTCAGGCCTCAATATGGAAGCGCCAGAGACACGACACCAAACAGTGTGGTCCTTAAGAGAGCGGTTTGGGCAGCAGCACTCGTGTCTGTAGATCGAGAAGTTCCTGTGCTTTATCGAGTCTGTCATTCAGACAACAAAGCCTCTGCACGTGATTTAAAAGCAATCTGTAGCTCCTGATGTTCGAGTTTACAGGCACGTGCAGAAGGGGATTTACAACAGAGTCCGCTTCATGGTATCTTCAAGTGTGTCTGCATTTCATGCATCCACCTGTAGCCTCCAGGAAGGCTGGAGAAATCCAAGCCCCCATCACCCTGTAGAAGTAAAGGCTGAGACATGTTCTGTAGGGCAGCAAGGGACTGATTTGAGCACCTTTATTTGCTCTTCTTGTTTTCACAGTAATCTAAACCCCAACATTTTGACCTCCATCAAGAAGCTCCTGCATTGGGCATGCACTGTTGCCTGCAGGATGCCCTGAGCCTCTGCACCACGAGGAACCGCTCCAGTCACTCCTCATGTGCAGCAGAACTGCCCTTGTAGTGCACATCAGCCCCTGTGTGATGTGCACACTCACTCCCAGCTGTGTCCAGGTCTGTGGGTAGGAACCTGGTCCCTTAGGGGGTCCATGAAGGCATCAGAGGTGAAGCACATTCATTCCCCTGTTTTAGATGCGACCAATTCTTTCTAGAAGCTCTGAGATGCCCAGTCAGGAAGTGCAGCTTCCACTCCAAGTTGCTGAGACCTCAGGACCCAACCACAAGCCACTGGTGAATATATAGACTTTAAATGCCAAGAAAAATATTCAGTGATGTCCTTGTAGCTTTGTGAGTAGATTAATAGGAGCTGCTAATGCTTCCCAGGCAGTGAACTGACCCAGGGCTGCCATCACCCCTCAGGTACCGCAGGTTTTATTTTTGAGTTCAATAGGTGGCACTTTGGTACCAGCGTCTGCCTGGGTATACAGAGTGCCTCTGCAGTGGGAGCGCTCGTGTCTCTGCTTTCCCTGATAAGAAAGCACTGCAGCACTGACTGTAATAATCTTTTACTGGTCTCCAGGCATTTGACGACTTCATTTTCGCTTTCTTTGCGGTGGAGATGGTGATCAAGATGGTGGCACTGGGGATCTTCGGGCAGAAGTGTTACCTTGGAGACACGTGGAATCGCCTGGACTTCTTCATCGTGATGGCGGGGTCAGTAACAAAACCTCATACATTTGTGCTTTGCGGTGAAAGCAAGAAAACCCCAGAGAGCCAAGTCTGTAGGTTGTCCTGGCTGGTTTTCATAACACCTTGTGAAAGCTGCCAGGCTCAAGCCAAGGTAAAGTCTCCTAAGTCTCATTTGGTGTCACCTCTGGCATCCACACCAGATTATGGGATGGGGTATGAATGTCACACAATCACACAGGAT